TAAATGTTTCAAAAGTTTACTTGCATTTGATAATATGATGTCATGCATCCCACAAGCTGTTAAATGTTACATTCATACACATACGATATTCAACTAAGATTATTCAATAAAACCTGCTCATTCAGATCACTTCATCTCCCTGCTTTCTCTCACTCCTTCCTCTGCCAACCTATTGGCTGATACAAAACAACGAATAATAATTTCTTAAACTAATTATTAATCGGATAAAAATGAAGTTCTAACTGGTTTGGGGTGTTAACTGGTTTTGGATACCAAACAAAACACGTCTTCTGACAAAATCTGATAAAGAAACTGGACCCACCTTCTTGACTTTCCTAAGTGTTGAAAGGAATTGTTTCGTCAGTGTTGAAAATTGAATTGTTCTAATGCATGCGTATTTTACAAAGATCAAAGCATCTGCACCATCTGAAACAGTCCACTGTCTGAGTTTATCATGAAAAGTAGCCTATGTGTCCTGGTTCGGCCTGCAAACCACCTGCAAGATTTTAGTGGCATCTAGTGGTGTATGGTGGAGCTGACACATGTTAGCAGGTAAGTACAAGGACAAACATTTATAATAGACAAAAAATACATTTGAATTTATAATTCCTGACTTTATTGCAAGTCTTCTACTCTTTAAAAAATAATAATAATAATAATAAATAAAAATTAAATTTCTCATTCTTTCACTGTTTGTTTGTCACTTTATTTTGTTTCCTGTATTTCAGAAAAAAAAAAACTTGAAACTGTCAATAAATGCGCAAATCACGGACCCCCTCCTCAGGGGGGACAAAGCAGTATATATTTTTGTGAAGCATGGCCTTTTTAATAAACATCTCTTAGACGGCTTTAAAAAAAAATGAATTGTTCTAATTCTATCCTTCCATTCACTCTCATTCTCTGCTACAGAATAATCTATCATTAATCAATCAATGAAGCCATAAAACACCTACACTACAAACAACAGGCCTAGAGAACATACATATATATATATATATATATATATATATATATATATATGGGGGGATAACTGAACTTTCTACTGTCCGTTAATAGAAATGAAATTACTGGTTGACAAGGACGTGCACAGACATTTTGAGGGGCAGGGGCTCAAGTGGAAAAAAGGGCACTTCTCATATTTATTTTATTTTT